CAGCTACTGGCAGGTCTCGGTCTTTGTGTTAGCCAGACCCCCACTGGCGGCCCCAACTCTATACCCTAACCATTAGGGGCAAGGGGCAACATGAAATCTCCCCTTCAGAGAGAGAGGAAAACTATGCTTGCAGGGGTCCCCTCTAGATAGTCTTAGGAGTAGGTAGTGGAAGGTAAACAAACAGAAGTTGAGAGAAGAATATAGACATTTGTGATCACCCAAAAAAAAAAACATAAAGATACAAAATATTCCTCATCTTCTTTGCTTTTTAAGAATACCTGTCGTTTTCCGTCTGACTCCATCATGAAACATTGTGCAAGCTACGCTAGCAGAACTCTGACTGTTGTCACCTGAGTACGTATGAGTTTCCTAACAAAACCTTATGTCTGTTCTTCTCTTATAGTGATACCTCTATTTTTCTCTTATAGCGAGACCTCTGTTTTTGTCTTATAGTGCGACCTCATAATGATAGGTTATCAATACGTGGGTGAACTTTATCAAAATGTCAGGGTTAGGTTATCAATATGTGGGTGAACCTCATCAAAATGTCAGGGTTCCAGACCACAGTATATCATATCAACACTACTCGTATCTAAAATGGTTCCAACAGTGTTCTGCATTGCCAATCTTGCATCGTGTTCAAAACTGCAAATACATCTGCTCGAAAAAGCTTCAGGTGAGAGATCTGCACCGGGTAATGCCCCAGAATCCCCTTCTTAACCTCCACTATGTTTCCCAGCCACTTTTCTCCGTAGCAGCAGACGGGATGCCCCGCTTTCTGAATGACCTCCAGGCAAAACCAGCAGCCGATGCATCCTGCCCAACGCTGCGTGCATAGAGGTGCATCAAAGAAAATGGCTTGAAATGTGAACGTTTTAAATGTCAAAAGATAGAAGTACCAACCCCAGGTCGCCATTACATGGGTCTGCACATTATCAATAATGTTCACTCGTTAATCAGATACAAGTTTTTAAACCACCAGTAGTTGGCCCAGCTATCGATGCCGAGCCTGAAAATGGGCTGCGCACTGTTTCCCACCAACCCGCCAGCGCAACAAAAAAAATTGTTTTGGCTGGCGGCGCCAGCCTTCGAGGGTCGGCACCCCAAGCCTCCAGAAGTTGCGGGGCGTTAACGGAAAGCCCCACGGCCGATGTATGGGCCAAATACTGGTGGTTTAACTTGTGGTACCGGTCCCCCAATTTTTTTTGTGGCGGGGGGAACGCTGGTTTAACAGATAGGGAGCAGGATCTGTCTAACCCAGGGTAATAACTGTGGGCAGGCGTGTGTCATCATGTCCACTTCAGGCGCGTGTCATCATGTCCGCTATACACAACTCCACAAAGAAAACCATGACTATTTCATCGGACTTGCATCGACTCGTCAGGAGGTTGAATCCCTGACAATCTTCCCAGGACTCATTTGACAATCTGCCCAGAGTTATGTGTTCTCATATCTGGTATACAAAACTCCACAAAGAAAAGCACAACCGTGCCACACTGTCTCATCGGACTTTCACCGACTCATCAGGAGGTTCAATCCCTGACAATCTGCCCAGGGTGCAGTTGACTGATGGGTAAGGACCATCCACCACATCGGCCAGAGTTAGTGATACCCCTGAGAAAAGTAGTAGACTCTACTCGCACCAACCCGAGTGTGTGCATTTTGAATTTTCACCACAACAGCCCCTAATCCAGCCGGATAGACGAGCAGCTTCAGTATTATTCCAGACAAACGAAGCACACTTGATTTGAGACTCTCCAGCATTGAAGACCCCTTCTTGCAACACGACTCTCACCTACAAGGCTGGCCACGTCCATTGTGGTCGAGTACCAGCTGCCGACATTCCCGTGTGCCGCAACAACACACTTGCATACTTTAAAAGGAGGCAGCGTATCGGGCGAGGTATACTCCTGTTCATTTTCCTTCAGATCTTCAGCTTATATTTTGTCTGTGCTCTTACTAGTGGTACAGAAGGGGAGGGAGGAAGGGAAGGAGTAGGAGGCTGGGTTCGGGAGTGAGGAGGCGGTGTGCGGTGCATGATGGTCAAGTTTTGTGCATAAGAGCATAGGAACGAGACAGAATCTGACAGATCTCTCTCTCTCTCTCCCCCCCCCCACCCCAAACGAAAGGGAGGAAGGGACTAAGAGCACTATCCATGCCTGAAACCAGGAAATCATAGACCGTACAAGTTTACTGTGAAGAAGTGCCAATTTACAATGTTGATTATCACATTTATTGTCACTCTTCATAACATCATACCTATCCATTGTTCGGCCTCGGGGTCCCCACGACTTTAGCAGGCCTGAGCCGCAACATTGGCCGCAGATAAAAAATATGTGCGGCCACAAAGCCCCCGAAAGTCGCAGCACGTTAACGTGAACGCCCCGCTTCCGCACACTGGTAGAGGTAGTGGTGGTTTCAAGTTCTATACTCAGGAGGGAAGAGAAGAGGGTCACATCTACAGAGAGCCAAAACATAGCGGTTTAAGTTTGAAGAGAGGAGGGTCACATCTGCAGAGAGCCAAAACAGAGCCAATTAGGATGATGATTGCAGAGTGGGGGGTGGGGGTTGGAGAAGGGGGTGTACCAGGGTTTACATAATGACGTGGTTATTTGACTGTGTGATTGCCTGGATGATAAGCTGGCATTTCCCCTCTCTGTCAATCAGCCTGTACAACTTTCTTTCTTCTTTCTCGTGAAAAATATAGGTGTCTTCTCCTCATAAGGGGGACAGTTCATATTTCTTACCTACCCTATTTTCTTCTCTCTTACCTACCTCTAGCTTTTCAAGCGAGGTACCGTCAATAGTTGTTCGATCGGGGCCCGGAGTCACCTTTTGTGGTAATTTATATGCGATTTATCCAGATTCCGATGTTTCACAGAAAACCCCTCCAAGATCATAGTAATCTGTACCTTACCCGTGAGCCCTACGCAGCTGACAATGGATCACATGTATTCAGAAAGCACAAGACCCAGGAGGGACAAGCTGACTTTCCCAGCTGAGTCCAGGGCTAGGGTCCGTCCACGGAAACACAGGCCAACCGCACTACACCCCAAATCTACCACCCAAGGTTAAACATACTAATCGAAGCTAAGCTATCCCAAGCTCTGCTATCCCAAGCTAAGCTATCCCAAGGTTGGAGGTCCAGACCTACCTAGTACCTAACTCTGCTCTGTGCTCTGTGAGGGGAGCAGCACCCAAGCTCCTGACACCTGGCGCAGGCTGGAAAGTCAAACTGCAACTTCCACAACCACCCAGGAGGGACAAGCTGACTTTCCCAGCTGGTGAACCCGAAGCATGCCACAGGAGGTCGTCGGGAACCGAATGGAAGACGCTGGGAATCGAACCCATGACCCACTTACGTGCTCAACCAACTGAGCTAGGCCTTCCCTAGTCTTCCGGCTGATTAGAAATCACGTCCAGATGGTACACAAGTTCTACGGACGTGCTGAAAAAGAGGAGAGAAATACCGAGGTATTCTTAGAATGCCTGCATAAACTCAGGTGGGGATAGTAGCAAGTGGTGGGGTGCCATTCACTTTTAAAGACTTTTGCGACCGCACTCACATGGTACCACATTCCCTCTAAAACCACCCACATGGCACTCACATGGTACTTTTCACAGTCACAGAGTTCTTTACTCGAAATAATATTGTCTTGGGTAAAGCGACTATCACAGCGCCGCCTCTCCAGACCATCTCTGAGAACCGAAAAGTGACATGACCAAATCTCGACCAAGACCAACACATGTAGATCGTAAATGCCCACACTTGTTGCCTATCAGTCGTGCTTGCACAATCTTCACCATATCAGAATAAAAAACATCGGAATTCATTAAAGAAATTTCGGGACATGATGATGGCACTGATCACACACTACGTATTAATCCTCCATGTGACATCGGGCCTCGGTCCGCTGCTCTACACTCTCCATGCATCGGCAGCTCAAGCTCATCCCGATACATTCAAGATGTTGAACTCATCCAAATGCACCTGGCCCAGAAAACACCCAAATCCATGTCAAATGTTAAGTAGTGGTGCGGGGCCAAGTGACTGTTGGCTGAAATACCATACGCTTGATTTGAGAAGAGGCTACTGGTAAGTGGGCAACCAAATAACCTCCGTGTCGGTAGAGCACACTTGGAAAGCAAAGATTGTGCATGCAAGTCTGAGAAAATAAACATACCCCCGACCGAACTTCAAGAAAGCGAGGATACGTACACACCAGATTCACTTTGTTCTTGCCTGGGTAGCACGACATTCGTGTATGCATGCTCCGTGTACAGGAGTACTTGCACTCCCATACATTTTCTGCTGGTACATGGGCGTAGCTTTTTAAGAGAAATTGCACCGCTTGCATGCGCCTGGTTACATGTGGCCCACCACTCCCCAGCCCCACACATTTCATGTGCCCAAACAGAATCGAGTGCCTAAACACGCATGATGGTCAGGAACGAGTGCCTAAACACGCACGATGGTCAGGAACGAGTGCCCAAACAGAATCCTCCCCATTATATTAATCCAAACAGAACGAAGCGCAATGGTCAGACACGAGTGCACACCAAACATAACAACACACGATGGTCAGGGACGAGTGCACACTGTGTTCCCAGTTCAACACGAGTGTGTGTTAGATTCGGGAAAAGACGTTAGCCTCCCCTATAAAGGGAAAGTGATGTTAGTCTCCCCTACAAAGGGAAACGGACAATCCTTCAGCAGACAGCGTTGCAATCAAAGTTTTGAGTATTGCATTATTAGCACCACTAACACCGGKGGGGGTGTTTTCAAAAAAAAAAAAAAAAAAAAAAAAAAAAAAGCCCTGCCAACTTACCGAAATAGAGAACAAGATCTTGAGCTTCAGACTAAGACGAAGACTTTGTAAGATGCAAAAGAACGGATAGAGAACAAGATCTTGAGCTTCAGACTAAGACGAAGACTTTGTAAGATGCAAAAGAACGGATGCATAAAGGCGATGTGCAAACGCACACGACCGTTACCGAATGATCAGGAGATATATTTGAAAGGAGAGAGAGGTCGACCAGACAAAAAACTCCACAGCCCATGGATCACAAGTGCAGAATGCACGAAGACCTTCTGTTCAACAAAGTGGCAACGAGGTCAATTACACCACTAGACTTCTCTGATCACCTGATATTCTGCAAGAAATTTCACCAAACAGACATTTCCAAGTCTCTTCAATCTCACGATGCCCACCACATTTGGCTTGTAGCCAAGCCACGTCCAACCGCCTCCACATGCAATTGTGTGCCCGATTCCCCCGTTTGAGCAGTTACACAGCTTTCATACCACTACAAAGCCAGGATCACTAGCAGCTCGCCATTCCACCAGCTGCGTGGGACTACACAATAAGGCAAGAAATATTTGACTTCTACTGCCGAAGACGGAAAGCAAAGGCGAAAAAAAAAAAACAAAGATGGGTCGTCTGCACACAGACACACATGTTTCATCGGTACGACTAGGCAGAGATTCCTCTCCAATGTCCTACCTCGATGAGATCGATTCGACGAATCTCTCAGCGGCCCACTCCATCCCTGCTAATTCTCTTTGCATATTCCACATTCCTGTGGCAGTTTCCCCTCACTAGCTGGGAATCCAACATCCCAGTCCCTGTCATCTATAACCTGTTCCATGTGCTTCGGTCGCGACCAGATGCCTCGAAGCATGTGTCACCGGCAATCCTTCGGAGGATATCAGGAAGCCTCCTAAATGGCTACGGTGAGAATCATATACCCCATGGTTCACTGGCAGCATAAGCCCATCATGAAGTTGCTCTGAACACTCCGGTGTTCTTTCTTGCTGTTACCACCATCGCGACCACCTTTCGAATGACCTCAACCAAAATGCAACAGTTAAAAACTCTTCGAGCATACACCCTGCCATTCATTCAGGACTGCCCAAAAGAACACCACTCACACGACCAAGAAAGGCCAGTTTTCATGTTCGGCGAACTACATACCGTTGCAGGACTATTCAAGATTGTCGTGGGAGCATGCATGCATGCATCGTTGTGATTTCTACCGGCCCATCAATGACACATTAACAGGAAAGATACTTTGGCAGAACAAAGGAACGATGCTGAAACTAAAGTGCCAGCCCTATGTGCAGAGCAGTGTCGCATTCACTCTCCGACAAGAACATATGAGTTTCCAAATGTACCTGGTCAGTCACGTGGGCTACGGACCGTCTCTCCATACACAGGTTTCCACTGCAGACGAAACCTTTGCACAGAACCAATCCTCAGGAGGGGGCTTGCATCACAGCTCCAGGCACGAAGTGCAGACAATAGCAGGCAGCAATCCTCAGCAAAGCTACGGAACTTCAAATCCCATCGTCCCACTTCCTGACTGTCGTTGTCATCCTCTGCTAATCGGCACACCCATCGCCGCAAGGCAACACGGTACCTCGGATACCACCCAGAACTCCATAGATACAAGACCTGTGGTGACTAACACACCACACAAATCTGCTGGATGTCTGGTACCTCGCATACCACGTACTTCCTAACAGCCAGACTCGTGTTGAATCGCCGACTGAGCTGTGCGTCTATTGATTCTCGAGACGTCCGGCGCCTGGAGAAGACGGTAACCCTTCCACCCATAAGCATATAGAGATCGCATTAGCACCGCAGCCCTTAGACCACAATACAGAAGACTGATTACCTGAGTATAAGAGAAAGCTAAAGACAGGTGCATAGATCACCGAAGAGGATCATAGTCCTACCTTTCCCACAAAAAAAAGGACGCACCTACCAACATGCAGCACAGGGAACATACCTTCCGGTGTCTCCCTCCGCACACATCACATTTCAGTCCTTTTGGAAGGTATGATTTTGCTGCAAAGATTGGTCGAAGGAGGCAGGGAGGCACGCATAAAACATGCCCCGTTGCAGAAGCTACGCTTCTTTGGAGAGGTTTTCGGGGTAAGGAGGGAGGCACTGAGTGGGGAGAGGGCAAGGGCAACGGGGAAGGATGAAAGGATTAGCTTGCTTCTCTAATATGGTCGTGATCGGTATCCCCGGTCCGAATCTCTTCGATCTGGACCGCCTCCACTCCCATGCCTTCCACCACCATAACCGCCTCCGCCTCCGTATCCACCACCCCCTCCGTAACCCCCACCTCCACCTCGGTATCCCCCTCCACCGCCTCTGTAACCCCTGCATACAGACAAATCAGAACGACACAGCACGCAATGTATACATCGTCAGATAGACTAATAGAGAGCACTATGCTTCCCCTCCATCAGAAAGCCAAGCAGATCCAAGTCTATTGTCACATATCTACGAACTAAAAGACTTGCACTTCGCAAAACAAACAATAAAAACAACAAGGCAAACATGAAGAGCACACTGAAACGATTCATTTTTCTCAGTATATGATGGTATAGCAAACGATGTGCGTATATATTTGTGCCTCGCTCCACTACTCTCCTCCAAGTGTGCAAAATGAGATGATCTTCCGCTAGAACATGGAAAGATATACAGCCATAGTTTTTATATTTTGTGCATGTCGAGGAGAACAGCGCGGACCATTGTCCTATATCTACGAACTAAAACAGCGCACTTTGCAAAACACACGCTAAAAACACACAAGGCAAAACACGAAGAGCACACTGAAACCATTCATTCATTTCTACCATTCTGGTTTTTAACTTTCCCTTTACCGTGCCTCTCCCGTAGAAAGCTCAGCTCGCTGATGCGGTTGAGAAGGGGCCGCCCACCCAAAGCAATGTTGCACAAGAATACTACAGCAATTTTGACAGTGTGCATATTTACAGGCGTGCCGAAGCAGCTCACAAGTGACAACAAAGATCACATAGTCAATTCTCAACCCAATTCCAGTACCTCTATTGACCCACAGGCCTGCCATCCGACGAGGCAAAATACGGGCTTCTACTCTTGACAAGGGAACGAGCTATTAAAATCTGGACACAGCTTTGGAAGTTTTGAGCTGTGAAAAATGAGGCCAGGAGATCCACACCATGGTCACTGCAGAAGACCTCTGGAGTATACAGAGCTGATGAAGTGACGACTACCATCCTACCTAATGTAGGACCTTGGTTCCTTTAGGGCAGAGGTTGGTGCCCACCTCGTCGTCGGGCAGTCATTGATGCTTAACCACAGCCGGGGTTAAGGTGGATTATCACTTATAGTGTGATCAGTTAGGGGAGATTCTGCAGACTGTTGAGGGTTCAGCCTCCTGATGAGATGGTGAAACTCCGACGAAACAGTTTGTCACAGCCCCTCTTCTCCCTCTCCCTCTCTGCCTACGGTTTACCACGCTGCTCTGTTTGACGATATATAAAAGCGGGTGAGATGGATGACAGATGAAACATGATGTTCTTGGCTGATGTGAATACCACAAGGCGTGAGTAAAACCTCTAACATTACCACTTTGATGCTGAAAAAAAACATATGGACCAGACAAGCGCCCGAACAAGATAAAATAACTTGGACTACTTGACATACTTCGCACATCGAGGACATGAACTTGTCTTCCATACGCGTCAGCAAGAGCCAGTTCCAAGCTAAAAAGTACATGAACTGTGCAGATAAACAGCATCACAACAGATAGAGCAAACACTTTGATTTCTAGATTGCCATATAATCAGACAAACATGGGCCAAAAGGCTCTCTTGGCGCATACCCTCTTCCCCCAGGACCTCCAACTCGCGGCGCTGATTTCTCAGCCATCGTAACCTTGATCTGGTGACCTCGGATGACATGATCTGCAGCATATCAGACAAACAGCCACAGACAAAGAAGACAAAAAGCGAATAAAGATATCTGATATGCAAATGGAACATGTTGGACCACTGAACATGAACTCATCTTTCTTATGGCAAAGATTCCCACTCGACAAGCACAGGTTGCAGGGCGCATCCACATAGGCAGAGGAGACGGCATGAACTGAATCACAAAAGTAGGCAGAACGACTCTCAGTGGAATGAGGCCTGCCAATCAAGGACCCGGCAATGGCATGGTAAGGAGGAAGGATGGACCACATAGGCTCTTTCTTCCGACAGCCTTGGGCGCAAGGAACCTGCAAAGGGAAGTTCTGAAGAGAAGGCCACAGCCTATGAACAGACCTACTCGGTTCAGCCCGAAAAGGCAAATTCGGAGATCACACACGCCAAGAAGGGACGGAGTTCCCTCACAGAAAGCTTTGCCCATGCCCACAAACAGACTTCCAAGCAGACAGACACAACCACCTGTCCCACGGCAATGCCAGAAGAACGCCAACCGTACTGTGAAGATGAACATACTGTGAACCCTCCTGCACGCCCTACAAACATTAGAACCCCGCAACATGTTAACACAAGTAGCAACCACAAGGGCTGCTGGAGCTGTTGCACACTTCTTTGTATCTGAGGAGAGAGAGCAGAAACAATCCAACGGTTCATCTGCGGAGACCTACCATCGCTGGATGTGCCGTCGAGGTAAGCATCAGCAGGAGGCCACAGACGGCAACAGCGCTCAAGGGGAAGAATCTGAGACATGAGAGGGGAAAGATAACGAGAGAGGGAGAGGATAACGAGGGGCCTGAAGCGAGGTAGGGAGAAGAGCGAGAGGAGGGAGGGGGGGGGNGAGAGGAGGGAGGGGGGGGGAGGGAGGGAGGGAGGGAGGGAAAAGAGAGGGAGAGGAGGGCGGGAGGAAGGGAGAGACGGAGGTGGGCGAGGTCCAGCAGTACATTTGGTTAGGGGAGTAGCTAAGTCGCAAAGTCTGTCAGTTTTGCTAAGGAGAAACTTTTCCCTCTTAGCATGGATTTGCCCCATAAGCACTCCTGGCAGAATGGGAAGATCGTTCCATGGCTTAAGGTTCACTGGGAGAATTTGTGTGGTGCTATTGGTATGGAGGTGCAGAAGATACCAGGCTCTGCGCCGAAGTGTTCTTTATGATCTGGACAAACCTCAAACCTTGCATTCAGTATTCCACATCTGTCACGAACCCTTGCAACAAATCATCAGCATCACGGGCAGGAAGTAACGGCAAACAAATGACCTCCACACACACCTGCAATCCAATCAAGTCCATACTTTTCAAGCAACCACAGGCCAAAGAAACCCTGCGGAGTCGATAGGCACTTCGTTGGCGGCAGCAGTATGCCACATTAACAATCCGGATGCAACAAGCTCAAAATTTGATGATGCCCACTTTGAGCAGTCTCCAGACTCTTCTGAACTACACTTGGGATACCCACTGCGAAGCAGAACCCTGACATTCATCATGGACCACATGAACAGCGCACGCGTTCTGTACACATACCACGTTCTTCTTATTCCATCGACAGCGTTGGCATCCAAACATTACCATTCTGCTGTAATCTCAACTGCAGTTTTTACGGCGAAGGCCATTCTTCATACCACGATAGCCCAAACAATCAAACAAGCATACATTGTTTACAGTTCCGAAAGTCGGCCAGCTGCCCTCGTCTTCAGGTTTCTCTCGCCGATTCTCGGCAGTTTCCCGGGCGTACTTTAGCCCCGCCTCCTTTCATCGAGGTAGGTAGTCTCCGGACTACTTCAGCCATGCCATTCTTCGTAGTCTCAAGTGTTCGGCGATAACCTCTACAACCTGGACAAGCGTGCCAAAAAAAGGAGGCTTTCCGTGACATATTCCCCTGTGAAGCAGTTTACACATTAGTCTATGTTTCTTCCAGCTCATTCCCTGTGTGCACTCTTATCTCAATTCCACTGCACCACACGAAGACTCTCAAGAACTTTCATCAACAGCAAACGGTTGTCAATTACCCGAATGCCTTTCTTAACAACTAATCTATGCGGCAGCCTGTACCGTAGAAACTTGGTCTTAATGTCAGACTGACTACAAGGGCTCCACATATAGCACCTCAAGCCTCATGTGCCCTCTGCTATAGACCTGCCGAGTAACTCCTAACGCTAATCTCTATGGGCAGAGCCTTCGCCGTAAAAACTTTTATCGTCAGACCACATGTGCTGCTACATACAGCAGTTCGAACTTCATGTGCCCTCTCTCTGCTACAGAGCTGCCGAGTGCTTCTCAACTCCACCGCCCTCCCGATTTACACATTTACTCCTAGATTTTTCACAAAAACAGTACACTTGTTTTGGGTGTTTTGGTTTTGCGCATTAGTGTGAATCGAGTCGGGAATTGGTCACCATCTGTAACTACTATCTTAAAGGCTGATCAAATCACTAACCTAAACATGGCAGTCTGCCAACTTCCAGGACCTCTAAAATTGGTTCCAGCAGACCTTCCAGGTTGGTTGACTGCTTACTTTATACCACCAGTCCTTGGCCCAGCTACAGGCCGTGGAAAAAAATAGAGTCGTATGAATTTCGGCGCTCCTGTAGTGGCCCGTACGTTTCCTAAAACTGTGGCTTGTTAACGGGCACGACTTTAGGAAGTACTGGCGGTTGAATGCTCCCAGAGCAAAATTCTCCCGACCCAAGCGCACTGCTAAACCCTATCACCTCGGTACAACATCACGGCACTACCTAGCTTCCTGAATGAAACCCTTGCCAAGACTCCTCTCCTGCGTTTGAAATACCCACCTCCCATGCCATGCAAACCACTGCCCCGTAGATTATGCTTTCGCAAGGGCCACAGCACAGAAGGGATAACGCTTTTACGAGCTCAGTTGTGAAGCGCTAACAAATGATATTCGCACTCTCTGCCGCATTACATCACGAATTTACCACCAGCTTTTCGTCGCAACCTTCTACATTCTGCCTGGTACATCAACAGCCCATGTCGCCATACCCTCCAAGACATCACCGCGATGAACCAGTTGGCAGCTAACAATGCAACCATATGATGGTTCAATGACCTGTCACCACCTCTACAATCCCCCTAGAGCATCGACAAAAATGTGCTCTAGTCATCCGAGAGCTCATCGCGATGAACACAGCTAGAGACTACACTTCCTGCCGTATGCAAAACCATGCAATCAACAGAATGATCAAGCTTCTTCACATGCCTGTTCAAGTATCTCAGCAGACGCTCAAGTAACCATCATCTCCCTCTTCGCCAGAAACAACCTGACAAACGAAAGGAGGACCAAGAACGTGTCCTGCTACCAACCAGCCTTACCTAAGAAGAAGCATACAGCGATCGACTCTCTCTGCATTTCTGCAGAGAGCGAAAATAGCGATGCTGCAAAGATTACCCGGAAGTGAAGACGACACAGCAGTACAGTGACCACAGCAGTGCAGATAGAGAGAATCCCTCTGTCAAGGTTTTCCAAATGGCCAAACAATCTAATGAAAGGAATAACGCAGCGCACTGGACAGACTTTCACGATCAAACTCACAGCCTTGCCTGTCATTAAATCATTCAACAAAAGTATATGCCGCTCTAGGAGTCTATTAAAACCTACAGCCCTAAAAGTGAACCCTACATACTCGTATGAAGGTTGGCCAGGTGATATTAGATCACGAACACATTTCACAACACATTTTGCCCATGAAAGGTAAAACTATCCCCTGTATAAATAATTGCAGGTCTACTATCCCGAACATAAATAATTGCAAGTCTACCACATTGTAGCGCTTTTCGAATTGGACCATATTATAGCCCTTATCGACAAAACTACCTCCTCCAAGATTGCATGGTCAGTATCTTGCACTAATTTTTAAGCTCCCTTATAATTCTGCGACCTATGCGAGGTTCCCCTTCTGAGTCCGTGAACTCACATATGCCAGTGAGACTAGGCACTCAAACAGTTTCACATTCCAGGCAAAACTGCACTACAAGAAAATCGCTGCTCAGCCCTCCACTCGAGAGACGTGCGCCGTGATGACACGAGGAAATTACATACGGCTAGTAAGTTGTGGCCACTCTAGTCTGCATGTTGCGCTTGTCGCCCGGCAAGCATGTAGACACCTACCTGAATGTTGGTCCTTTCGTGGTTGGAAGGAGCGGGCATAAGAAACATAAACATCTGAGATATTTATTCACTGTACGGCAGTGTCCTATTCTGTGAAGCTCCCATAGCAACAACTACAATCTGAGGTCTTCAGCTCGGAAGAAACCTGAAGACGCGGCGTCTCGTAAAGAAAGAGGGTAAAGACAGAGGTCACGCTTCAGATACAAGTGACAAGGGGTCTCCAGCTTCCCTCTTCTTGTCATCACCAACACCATCTGGTGTTGGGGGCGAACATACATGACAAGGCTTTCGCATATAGCAACAACTACAATCTGAGGTCTTCGGCTTGGAAGAAACCTGAAGACGCGGCGCAGCGTCTGGTAAAGAAAGAGGTAACGCTTCAGATGCAACAAGTGACAAGGGGTCTCCAGCTTCCCTCTTCTTGTCATCACCAACACCAGGTGGTGTTGGGTGTGAACATAAATGACAAGGCTTTGGCGTATTTGCCGCACAGGCAGATCGCAACAGAGCAAATAAAGCTTGGGCTGCAAAAGGGAAAAGGAGCGCATTTTCATTTGCATGCACCTTTCCCAATCCAAATTCCACATTATTTTCTTCCTTGCTTCTTTTCGACATGTGGGACTTACCTATTTTGCAGGTATAGCAGTCATGCGCTTCGTCTTCAACAACTACAAAGAGGCAGGCAGTGTAACAACATGTCCTGGGAGGTCCCTTCGGTGAGGCAAATCCAATCACATTACCGTTTGTTCCTCGATAAATAGCGTTCCTGCATTGCATGCAATTATCAGTTAATCAGATAAGTTGCACGTTTCGATAGTGTGCACCAACGTCCCCCAGCCCAAGGAGAACGACCCTATTGTT